TCGTAATGCCACGAGTGTGCAGATGCCGCCTGTCCACGCAGTCAGCCCCGACACTGTTAACTTACGGCTTCGGTAGTTCGGAAACAACTCCAAAGGCAGTCGGATGACTGGCATAATGACACAACGCAGCATCGCGATCACCCGCTCTTCACCCCGCGAGTGCGGCGACGGCGGCGAGAACAGACGAGGGCGTCAAGCATTGCGCGGAAATGACGTTTGCAGCGGTGGTCCCCAGAAGTGTGGCAGCTTGGGCTAGTTGGTATGGCACGCTGTAGCAGACGACAGCGCTGTAGCACGCTGTAGCAATGAACGCTGTAGCAGACGACATAGGCGTCTCCCTTCTCTCTCATGCGTTCTCCAGCATACGGTTGTCAAACACGCTGCCGGGTCTACCCCTTCGTATTTGGCCCGATAACTCTTGATTAGCAATACTCCCGTCCTGGCCTCAAACAGTAGAGAACTACCCCGAGTATTATCATAGATCCTTTCCTTGGCAATTTCCTGTTTAAAAGTTTGATAGATAACTATAGCGTGGTCTTTTTAATCATGCCAATTCTCCACATGTCATTCTCCGTTTCCTTCACCTTCTGCTGAACCAATAGTTCTTTTTTTTTGGTCCTTCGATCTTTTATAGGTATTTACCAGTCAATTTTCTCGTTCGCTTCCTCCATTTTGTATCGACATTCTTCATGTACAAGTAGTTGAAAACCTTCCTAGCCCAACGCTCCTCCTTCATTTCTCTCAATCGCTTCTCAAATTTTATCTTGCTGCTAGCTTCCCTGCCCTCAAATGATGTCCATCCCATATCGCCTTGTACTCCCTGATTTGGTGTATTTCCGTGAGCTCCTAAAGCAAGCCTACCTATTCCACGTTGCTTAATTTCTAATCTTGCTTGAACTTCTGATCTCATGCACAAGATCGCATTGCCGAACGTCAGCCCAGGAACCATGACCCCTTTCCATATTCCTCTCACAACATCATACCTATTGTAATTCCACAGTGCCCTATTTCTCATCACTGCTGCATTACTGTTACCTTTAGTCGTCACGTATATTTCGTGTTCCCTCAGGTACTCGGTCCCATTGCTTATCCATACGCCCAGATATTTGTATTTATCTGTTATCTCTAGCGTGACCTCCTGTATTCTAAGCTCACTACCTTCGTTGTCATTGAAAATCATGACTGCTGATTTTTCCCTACTGAATCTAAAATCTAACCTATCTCCCTCATTACCGCAGATGTCCATCAATCTCTGCAAATCTTCCTTGTTGTTGGCCATTAGCACTATATCATCTGCGTACATTAATGCTGGTAGTGCCTGATCAATAAGTTTTCCTTGTTTGACTAAAGAGAGGTTGAAGCCCAGTCCACTTCCCTCTAATTTTGCCTCTAATCCTTGTAGGTACATCATGAATAATAAGGGTGACAGGGGGCACCCCTGCCTAAGCCCCCGTTTTACGTCTGCAGGCTTGGATACCTGTTTTTCCCACTTTATAACTACCTTGTTACCTTTATAGATACCCTTTAAAAGTTTAGTGACTACATGTTTCACGCCTAGTGTGTCCAGTATTCCCCACAATTCCTCTTGAACCACGCTATCGTACGCTCCCTTGATATCCAAAAATGCTAGCCACAGGGGCCTGTGTTCCTTTTCTGCTATTTCGATGCACTGCGTCAGTGAGAACAGATTGTCTTCCAACCTCCTGTGTTTCCGAAACCCATTCTGCAGTTCCCCCAGCACCCCCTCATCCTCTATCCACGCCTGCAGTCTTTCCTTTATAATCTGCATCGCCAGCCTGTAGACCACTGATGTCACTGTTATAGGACGGTAATTGTTTATGTCAGCTTTGTCCCCCTTTCCTTTATAGATCATGCTCATCCTGCTAAGTTTCCATTCATCGGGAACTTCACCATCGATTATTATTGTGCTCACTGCCTCTCTCAAAGCCTGCTTAGACTTCGGACCTAATGTCTTTATCAGCCTAATTGGAATGCCATCTGGGCCTGTTTATGTACTACTAGGAACCCTTTTATCAGCCCTTTCCAACTCTCGTTGTGAAAATGGAGCCATTGCATCACTTGATTCGTCCTTGTCTATTGCGGTGCATAAAGTACTTCTTTGTTGAAATTTTTCTGTCACCCTTGTTCTTATATATTCCATAGCTTCGTCCCCTTCTAGCCTGGCACCTTGGGCTGTAGTTATAAAACTCTGCTCTAGGCTCGTCTCATTTCTTAGGGAGTTTAGATGGTTCCAAAATTTCGCAGCTGCCTTTATATCTTTTTTATGTACTTCTGCCAGCCACTGAGCTTCCTTTCTTCTAATCTTTTCATTGATTAGAAGGGATGCAGCCCTTCTACAGCTTAGAAAGGTTTCCCATTTTCTTTCAACATCATCTGTCGGTTCACCCCGCTGCTTAGCATGTCTGTGTTCCCTAGAGGCTTCCTGGCGTTTTGCTATGGCTCTCTTAACTTCCTCATCCCACCAACTTTTGGGTTTGTGTCTTTTTTTCCGGGGTGACTTGTTACGCGTCTTAGCAAGCTCTAGCTCAAAGAGTCTAATTAGATTCGCGTATGTACACACTGTCTTATTATCCTCCGTGATTACTTTCTCAATTTGTTTTGTGGCTATTTCAATTTGCCTTTCTGAATAAAAATTTTCGTGTAGTTGCTCATCTTGTCTCCTTCCCACTTTCACTGCTCTACCAAAACTTAGCTTGATACGTTTGTGATCACTACCCAGACTTCTGGGGCCACCTTCATCTATGTGCATTCCCCTGAGCTTATCATACATCCTATGTGACATCAGTGCATAATCTATCGTCGACTGCAGCCTTCCTACCTCCCATGTTATTTGCCCTTCACACTTCCCGGTACTGTTGCAAATGATCAAATCAAGCCTTTCACACATATCCATGATCATTTTGCCTGTCGGGTCGGTATACCCATCTATATCTTCTATGTGCGCATTCATGTCTCCTAGTATAATTATCTCGCACTCTACTCCTAACTCCTGAATGTCCTTTGATATACACTCTACCATTGCCTGGTTTTCCTCTCTGGCCTTTGTTCCCGTCCACAAGTACACGAAACCAAGGAGTGGCATTTGACCTGCTACTTTCCCTTTTAGCCATAAATGTTCCTTGCACTCCTTCTTGACCCTTTGCCAGTCTGTACTTTTATGAATGAATGCCCCAATACCACCCCCCTTTCTGCTGCCTTCTGTTCTATTACAATATTCACACGCGTAGTCCGGATTGTGCGGAGGTTGTTCCATGTCCCTGAGATGTGTTTCTACAAAACCGTATACCATCGGCCTCTCTTCCCTTAGCTGTTCTTCTATCTCTTCCCACTTCAGCCTGTTCCTACCACCCTGCATGTTAATATACCCTATGTCTGAATGGGCTCGGCGCTCGTGGCTACGTCTGTTTATGCCCCGGACTCTACCTATCTTAGACATTGGTGCCACTTTGGCATCGTATCTGTCCATAACACCTGTCGAAGATTCTCCCTGGTTGTTTTCCTCGTTACTAGCTATCCTGCACCCCGAAGGGCTCGCTTGCCCCCCAAAAAAACTACTGCGCGTCCTGCAAGTCGCCAACCCACCTCATGACCTAGCCGTCCATCGAAGTGAATTCTGTCTCGTTGAAAACCACCCCACCTATGCACCTCTCTGTTTATTTGCACCACCTCAAAGTTTTTCTCTCGACTCATCCGCCATATCTCTTGGTTTGCGTTGACAACCGCTCTTTGCAGGTTGCTATCACGCACCGGTACCTCCGGTATCGTGCATATCACTACCTGTACCTTAGGAGAAGTGGCGCGCATGTCATCGACGCCTTTCGCCAGTGTGGCTGCTAGTCCTGCTGTATCTTCATTTAGGACATCATTTAAACCACCTAAAATTATCACAAGGTTTCGTCTATCAGCTGTAGTTTTGAGTTTTGCGCTCGCTTGCCTCATGACTGCTTCCAGCTTGCGTCCTGGGAACGCCCCTACTGCAACCCTCTTGTCAGCTCTTACCCTCTCTTTGATGGCTTCTGTGCATCGATTTAAATTCGAGTCCCAGGCGATTATCACATGCTGTGACTTTGCAGCTGGAGCGTCCTGCACCTGGGGGCTACTTGCACCTGTGACGCCGGCTGCTTTCTCCCCTCCAAGCCCCACCACTACCTCGCTGAAGCTGGGCCTTGCGACAGTTGAACCGGCTAAACCTGTTTTTTCCAAACTTGCTTGTTCTTCCTTCTCAACCGTTCTGGTTGCCGGTTCTCTACTGTTCTCTCCGTAGGCCGCTTCTTTGTTCAGCTTCGCTAGTGCCTCCTCGGTGGACTTCTGTCTTTCTCCCATTGCCCTCGTTTTTTCTTGCTCTGTCGCCAACGCAGTCTCGAGCTCATCGATTGTCACCAGCAGTTCACTTTGGGCAACCATCATTTTCTCCATTTTTTCCTCGACCTCACATTGCCTACACTTCGCGTCAGCCTCTTCTCCATCCGCTTCTACGCTTGGGTCCACTTTCAAACCCACTCCACATCCTGAACACTTTACAGTCTTTTTAACCATGCCTTTCTGACACCAACTGTCCCTATACTCGATAATTACTAAATCGAGCCCTGCACTACGAAAAAAAAAGAAAAGAAAGTCTAAGCTCTACTACAAAAAGTTGCGCGTTCAATGTACGCGCACCTCCCCCACGGGGTGGCAAAAGAAAAAAAAACAACAAAAAAATTCAAACACACACACACACCCGCACTAACTAATAAATACCTGGTGACTGGCTTCCGAAAAAGCCGTACCATAAAATAAGTGCTACGAAGATTTCAACCGCTGCCTTATAATTATAAAGACAAGCTCAAAACATGCAAAAACACTTATCTGCGCAGTCCGGAGCGCTCAAAAAACACGTCCATCCACCTTGACAGCCGGAACTTAAGTTCAGCGAAGCGTCAGCTGGGAGAGCGCCCCCTGTTGCTTGAAAGTGCTTAGTGCTTCGAACGTTGCAGGCATTGATTGGTCAACGCAGGTTTTCAGGACTGGCGAAACGCGTATCCACGGGTTAATGCACGAAACGTTGTTGACCATAAAGCCAACCTAACGTACGCTAAATTCAAACGTTCGATTGAATATGTTGCGGGGTGGTTCCGGACCTAGCTGGCCCAGCGTTTCGGCCACCGACTTTTGTTGCAACGGCGAGGCTCAATGGTAAGTGTGCTCTTAACACCTCAGTCATTTTGCCCACAAATATGTTCGAGGTGGTGCTTCCTGCAGCTATTTCCTGTTCATCGCTTAGTTGCGAGCACCAGTGCTAAAGCTTCCATCTGATTGTGTGATTTTGACACAGAAAAGGGTGATTACGAGCGGCCCCCGTGCATGTTTTACGAGTGCTCGGCTTGGTTGTTGTGAGCTTGGTTATTGTTGGTTGATGGGAGCTGCAACTCACGGCGCTTCAGCGAGCATGGGAATGATCGGTAGTACACACATTTGTCTAATTTTCGTACTTCTGGCCTGCTTCTGGCTCCGTGGGTGTTCGTGTGGCTGAAGTTACGAGATCAGAACTCGGGTCACGCACAGTTGTCCGCCGACGCCGCTGTCCAAAACTACATCGCGCGAAAAAAAAAAAAAAAACTGGCACCATGCAATAACGCAGTAGGGCTCGAACCCGGGCCCGCTGAATGCCAGCCGAGTACTCTACCACTAAACTACACCAGATTTTTTTTCTTTTTTATAGTACTTAGCTATAAGCTAAACCAGTACTCGTCACTTGTTAGCAAACTTGCTTCAGGCAGGCTTGATGTCGGGAAAGCAATCGTGCTGACTTGTAAAGCTTTTTAAAACAGCAAAAAAACCACCAGTCGTGGCACAATGCGAATAGCGTAACGATGGGCCGTCCAATGTTCCAACCCATTACAAAACTTGTTCTTGTTCTCCTACTAACTGTGTTGCATACCCACTTCAGCCATAATTCCTTATTGTCGTCAGCCACTCCATGAACAATTGACAAAAAAAATTTTTGCAAGTGTTTAGCGGATATCATGCTTCTCAGAAGAATGACGAAAAATAGCATAGCGAATGCCGGCCTACTACCCCCAAAAAATTAATAATGCCCTAGTTGGTATCAAGCAAGTGTGCTTGCAGTAGTTACCCAATTAGTGTTTTGAAAAGGCTCTGTAAGGCCGCTCTTCTTTTGCTGTGACTGTGCTGCACCTTCCACGCAGGCCTGGCGTTTTTTAGTTGAGCGTCCGATACAACTCTGTCCACCGCCTTCAATTGAAACTCGCTGGCCTGCTTTGTCTGTAGAGCTGCTGGGTTTGCCAAACAAATTGTGCCCAAGGCTGGCGATATTGTGGAGAGCGTGTCTTCGACCCATGCGTGAAACTATAAATCAACCCGCTCACCATAAATCAGCATACATGTGCCCATAGCCCCTCTCATTGTCCTCTTGGGTCGTGCCCGTTTGTGCTCTGGTCTATATTCTAGCCTTGCTTTTAATGCGCTTGTTAACTACGAAAGTGTTTTAATGCCGAGGACCGCCTGTAAATTTCAGTGACGTATTCCATTCCGCCACGAAAATCGCGTCGATAGTATACGCAAAGATCTGTCAATAGGTGTCGAGCCCACAACCGTTTGATGCGCAACTGGGCACGCTATCCACTGCACCACAGCCGCATGCTCAGGAAAACATACAAAAGCACCCTTTATAACCCGCACTGTCCTTTCACAGCGATTTTGGTAACTCGAATTAAATAATGCATCATCACTGTGACATTCACGATTAGTTCTTCAATGCCTTGCTTCTAAGCCTCCGTTGGCATGGTTTGTCGATGTATTAACAAAACGCAAGGTGGCGACATGACCCCTTAGCGTCAGCCTCCCTCACTCATACATAGCATCCATCTATAGGCACGGCCGGGCTGTGAGTTTACAAAGGCGAGCGGATAGACACCCCCTCAATGCACTGCGCCGTGCGCCTTTACGCGAGTTTACAAAGGCGAACAGATAGACCCCCCCACAATGCACTGCGCCAGGCGGCCTCACGAGGCTCTCGGAAGCTGCACGCTCATTGGTTCGTGCATGATGTCGTCAGCAAGTGTGGCTGCGCCTAAGACGATGCTGCAGGCGTCTGCCAGACAAGACTAAATAAGCGTGCTGTGTTCTCTGAGGCGATCTTGGTCGTGAAAAATGCCTTCTGATCATTTGGAGGCACGCGTAGAAACTTCAAGTATGATGAAAAACGCTGTGAGGGTGCTTCTATCGACGCTGCACTTCACTGCCGCTGGCAGTGTTGGTCCGTTTTCAACGACGGCTGGAGACACCAAGAAGTGGACAGTTGGATCCAGTGAAGATTAAGAAGACGTCGAGATGCTGGTCTTCGTAAGTTCATTTTTTCTTTTCAGTTCTGAACAGAGCCATCAAATGCTTGTTTACGGGACTGTCGGTGCAGGCAAGTTCGAAAAAGATGCTCGTGCATGCGCAGCTTTGGTTACTACGCTACCCAGCAAGAGCATGACTATTGCTGCTATTGCAGAGTGCCTTTAGTGTGCATAGATTTCAGTGAAACAAATTTAAAATAAATTAAACTGAAACCCACAACTTCGAGTGTTTGTCAAAAGCTATAAAATAATAAAAAAAGTATGCACGCGTTTATTGAAGCTTCACGGCAATACTGCTAGGTATTTTCGTGAAGACATGTGGGAATCTTTATGGTCGAGTGCCCAGAGTAAGCATCATGTTGCAAATCGCTGCAGTTAGTGTGGGAAAGACTGCAGTTTGTACATCGAAACTGCAGTCTGGAATTGTTAGTGGTTTGAGTTTGCATTCTTTACACTTCAATTCAATGACAAATGTCCTGTGAATGAAGAGAATAACTAGCTGCAGCTAATTTGATCGTAGTGTTAAAAAATGCACCCTCCTCGGCATTCCTTTTTACAGAAAATGCATGTTCGCGTAATGCAAAGGAATTATGATAGTGTGCCGAGTGCATGGGACAGGGAATGCTACACCAGCTGTAGAGTTGTGAATTATTAGTTTATGAACAGTTTATAATCTGTGTGCAGCACCTTGCTGAGAAAAACACAAGCCCTTTGCAACATTGCTAATTCTAGCTCCATGCAAAAAAAAAATAAAAAAACATTATTACACCTCAAGTTGACAGGTAATGTGTGATTTATGCAGATTATGCTGACATTATTACCTAATTATACTCAAAGGTATAATTAACAAAATGGTACAATACTACGCTGTTGACGCACATTATTATGCATTGTTCAAAAACACGCAGAAATTTTGGTGATCTTAGGTTAGTTAACATTTTTCTTTCAATGCATGCTGGCCTATTGTACAAGTTGCTAACAGGTGGTATGTAACGAGACTGCACATAATACAGAGGCACAGCACTCTTGTCATTTCTAACTTCTTTATTTTAATACCTTAGTCCTTCCAGTTTCCTATGCAAGAGATCATTTGTCTTTTGCAACTGCTTAAGCTTGGTTCAATATTACAGCACTTGTTTTCAAACCTCCTGGGAATATAAACACGTACTGACAGCAGAATTTTCATTTTCTTGTGTGAAATGAAAGTGCGCTGTGTTCGCTGAGGAAAACAAATGAAAGGGCCTTCAATGATCTTGAAAATGTATTGCAAAGTGCAAGTACACTCTGCAAAAGTAATTATAGTATGCTTTTAAAAGCTAGTTTCCATTTCTACAGCGCCCTGACATCATAACACAATATGAGCTTTTCATCATATTATTGTGTGAGAAATCTTGAAATTGCTCGGCTGCTACGCACTGTGGCTCCATTGCCGACCCACAAGCCGTCATTTTGATAGTTTTGGTGACACTGAGTGGCCATTTTGGTACCTGATGTCATCAGAACCTGCCAGATTTCAGCATGAAATCCTTAGAATTGCCTGATGTGCCACAAGAAACCTAACTTTAATATTCGGATCAGTTTATCTCATCACAAATTTTATTTGCTTCTCACTTGCTCCAAGTCGACTTTGTATTTATAAGATTCGCATGGCCGAGTAAACTCGCCTTTATAAAGTGGTGCCATACTCCTTTAGAATGTTGGCTGTGGAGACCAATTCGAAGGTGCCGTTGAGGCCAACGTACTGGGCAGTCTTTAAATGTCCTTGCTGGCTTGCCATTTTGACAAAAGAGGATTGTCCTTTGTGACACGCTGCTGAGTTTCGCAATTCTTAATCACTATCACCAAGTCCCAAACCTCAAATCTTGGTACAGCTATATTCTGTTTTTTGTCAAAGTTCTTTTTCACTCTCTTTCTCCACTTAGCTTCACCCTCTTTAGTTCTTTCTTTTGTCAGGCTGATCATCACTTCAACTCAGCCTCGTTGGCTGGTAAATGTGTTGCTTTGCAAGAGCAGTGAAAAGTCTGTTCATAAATGTTGATTTGTTTTTTTTTTTCTTTTCCCTTTTCTGCAATAACCTCATTGAGGCTGCAGTATGTAAAAGTACATAAGAAGTGGTGTGCACCCCATAGATGCTTTTAGGGCTATGCATGACGAGCTACGTCATTGAAAGACAGCTCCTCCATCTTTCTGGGAAGTGTACACATGCTTAATTACTGATTTATGTCTCAATTAGCTTGTTTCACTAGTCCATTAGCTGCTGAATGACATGGAGCAGTAAACCTGAGTGTAATTCGTTGTTGGTTTGCCCATTTATTGGGTTGATGACTCTGTAAATATGGTTCACTGTCTCTAATACTGACTTTTTGTCAGACATCAGGATATCAGACTGTTGGTATCCCCTTTTTTGCTTTTTTTGCCACCATCTTTTTACAAGCCATAACATTTGCATTTTTCTACAAAATTCTTCAAAGACCATGTGAATGACTTCGAATGGTGCAGAAAAGTGTTTTGATTGTATCATTTGTTGAGTCAGCTTCCTAAACTTTATTAATCTGGCACTCGTGATATGATTGTACTTATCTTGTTTCTTCTTTTATGTCGGATCATGTGAACTGCTTCGTTAGCTTCATGTACATCCACCGGATGCTATCGTGACCACCAAAATGACAGCGGTTATGATAAAGATTGAATATTTTTATGGGTGAAGCTCCTTATGGCGTCACCCGATAGTCCCGTTATCGTAGTAACCACCACTCGTATGTGGGTATGTGCCACTGGGGATATGCCACAGAGCGGGTATGTGCCACAAGGGTTAGACGCGCCCTCGATGTA